AAACAAAACCGGTACCTGCGAAGGAGACAAAGCGCGAACCGTTAGCGCAAACAATGACGCGTGTATTTGCTGGCCGAGAAATCGTAACGATCAACGTCCTCAAAATATCCCGCGCTTCCGAGACGATTGAATCTTCAAATTAACGGATTAGAAACGGTCGTAATCACTCATTAATTATTTGTCTTCGAATGAGACCGTTGAGCGCCTTGCCACGATGACGATCAGGACGCAGGACGCGGCGGCGGTCGGCAAGGAGATTTGCAGCAACTCTTCGTTTTAAAACATCTCTCTTGAAACATTAATTCCTATCGAGATTTTTAACGTCGATAAAAATACGATCATGAAACTATGAAGAGAAAAATGTGTTGTTTTGTTTAAACACTAGCTCAATAATCTTTGTTAGATTATTTAATATTTATTTGTGTGTCGCGTGCATATTCCACTTGCAATTGATAAAGTTGTTAATTGATGTCATTTACATAATTGATATGCTGTTTGTTGAGAAAAATTAAGAAAATAATTTGATTTAATACAATTCTTATGAATTTCATCAGGTGAAATATTACGATGATTGCGTATTAAATAATTCTTACGAATATTATTTTAAAGATTTAACAAGACGGCGATAAGTAACTGCTTCTATAAGATTAAAGGATAATAACCTACAGCAGTATTTTATCTTCGAGTTTGCGATGGAAATTGCAAGGTTAATGCAGAACCGACATTTTTATTCGACTATCCGCCACTCTCTATCACTTTCGGAGAATTGTCTGATCGTGTGTCTGTGAAATGACTCATTTCTTGAGTCAGTGAGTTCACTGACAACTTATTGACAATCCGACAAATTTTCGCAAACGTTCCTAATTAATCATTTCATCTTTCACCAACGTAAGGGATCTGTTTTTCTCGAACAATCGAACTGTCAATCATTTGGGGAAACTATCATGCTCTCGTCGACGAGAGAGAAAGAGAGAGAGAGAGAGACGCAGAAAAGGAACACACGCAAGCCAAAGGGAAAAAATCAAAGAAAAAGGGGGGAGAGAGAGAGAGAGAGAGAGAGAGAGAGAGAGAGAGAGAGAGAGAGAGAGAGAGAGAAAAAAGAAAAAAAACAGAGAGAGAAAGAGAGAGAAGAAGAAAAAATCG